GAACAACGTGGACTAGTGGAAGGTACCCCTGCCCATGGCAGAGAGTTGGAATGAGATGGTCTTTGAGGTCCCTTCCAACCCAAACCCCTCTGTGAGTCTATGAATTGGTTCCTCTAGCAGTTCCCACAGCCATGTCCCCTCATCGCTGTCGTTATTCGTGAGGGAGGGGACAATCTGCTGTGCTGGGTTTCTGCATCAGTCTTTAAAATGATCCATAACTCGTGTTTTTTAACACTGTCCTTCAGAGCAGCTGCTGTGCCTGAACTGAGAAGTAGCTGTGAAGTTTTGTAAGATCACATTCATTAAAGTCTGGTGGGTTTTGGGGCAGGATGGGGCACAGGGAGCCACAAGCTGCACAGTGGGGCAGAGCAAGTGTTGGACTCTCTCCAGTGCTGGATGATCCACATTTTCCCAAGTCAGGCAAATGCCTGAAAGCCTTTTTTTTTTTTTTTTTCTCTGCACAGAGTTTTGTCTGAAAGCAGGAGAAGTTTGTGTTGGAAACAATTTCCTGATGCAATTTGGATTTCCTTCCGAATAATCCTTTGCCCCAGTGGGATGGTACAGAGGGATTCTAGAAAAGCTTAACTGGCCTCACCATGAGTTAAACACATCCCTTAGTCTTTGCATGGCAGATGTTCAGGTAGGAAAATACCCTGCAGGGACCATTAGAAAATATTTGGAGGGTCAGGAGGAGAAAGACCCTCTCTGCCAGTGTGGGGGTTGAGTCCACGTCTCTGCCCCTGCTGCCCGTGTGCAGGGATCTGTGAGGGATGAGCAGAGGGAATCAGTCTCAGCTGGGAGGAAGAGCAGGACTCAGAGGAAGAATTTAATTGCAGGAAACCATTTGTAAATGCTGAAGGCACAACCTAAACATTGTTCCATCTCTTGCAGGAATGCTGGTGGTGATCGTGCTGCTGCTCATTGCCATCGTCGTGGTCGCTCTCTGGCCAATTCACTAACACAGATCCAGGGCTGGTGGGAGCAGCTGCTCCACACCGAGCACAGGGACTCCAGAGAACAGGCTGACTGTGTGCAGAGACCTTCTGTGTTGGAAATAAACTCAGCAGTACCAGACTGAAACCGTGTCCGCCAGACATCCGCTCTCCTTCGGTGTGCAGCTGAGGAGAGCTGTGTGATTTGGAGGATTTCAATGGGAAAAGGGCTCTCTTCCCACCTTCCTCTGGCACTCAGACAGCAGCAGCTGTACAGTGGATACATCTCTCCTGCATCTGTGTCTGAGGATGTGCTGGTGCCACCTGCCCACCTGCCACCACTTCTGCTGAGCTCAATCGTCCCGAGGGCTTTAAAACACTGAAATCCAGGAGTGGTTTGGAGTACAGCAACATTCCTCTGCTTCCTGATGCCTTCCTTCAGAATGAAAATGCTTAATGTTTTCCAAGGAATAGTCTTGGGGAGTGGCTGCACCTGGTTTCTCACAGGGTGGGATGTGAGAGCCCACAGAGCCCTTTGGGAGGGGCAGGACCCCCATGGGCTGCACGGAATCGCTGGTGAGTCAGACCAGAGTTACTGGGGAGTTACTGATCCCCACAGAGGGAAATGTGAACAGCAGCAGGACTCACACCAGGCATGGGAGGGTGGAGAGCCTTGCCCTGGTGTCCTCCCCACAGGCTCTGCCAGGCTGACCACGGGAGATGTATCATCATTAACGTCCTGATCTCGGTGATGGAGCTCTGCCTCTTCCTTTGTAACTTCTCACACGCTGTTAAAACTGAGGGGAGGGATTACCTGTCTCAAAACTAATGAAAAAGAAGTACTGAAAAGGAATGTTTGCTTCTGGCCAAGAAAATAATTATTTTGTTACACGTGTCAGTTTGATTTCAACATTAATAGAGCAAGCAATAAATACTGAATAAAAGCCGATTCATTTATATACAATTTATCTGCCTGGGGTTTTATTGTTTCCTACCATCTCGTGCTGTCCATGAATGATTTATCCAGTGCTTACATTTCCTAAGTGCTGATTTGCAGAAGGAAATAAACAATTTCTGTCAGACTTCATGTGTTTTATGAAGATCTGTGAGAGTTGCCAGCCCTGGGCTGGTCCTTACCTGCTGGGGTAGAGTGTCTCCTCTCCCAGCTCCCAGCTGGCTCTTGGCACTCCTGTCCCTGTCCCTGCCTTCCAACCACACAGCTGGGGTGGGGGCATGTCTGGCACTGCTCTGGGAGGAGGGAAACCAGGGTGTCCTGGTACTGTGTCCCCTGCAGAGGGACATGAAACCATTTTGCTCTTCTGGGTTCAGTTTCTCCATCTTAGATGGGGCTTGGGCACAGGCCCCTTCATTTTGGGCTTGGTGACACGAGATGACCCTCAGTTGTCTCCTTGCAGTGTGCAGGTGTTGGCTGGAGCTGGGGCTTTGACTCCATCACTGCAGGATCTGAACTGGGAATGACAGAGGTGGCTGTGATGGGAAAAGATGGAATTTTGCAGGAAACAGAGGCAGGGAGCTGTTGAGTACCCCATGGAATGCAGAACATCATAGAACGGTTTGGATTGGAAGGAACCTTAAAGACCACCTTAAAGACCACAGGCAGGGACACTTTCCACTAGCCCAGGTTGCTCCAAGCCCCCTCCAGCCTGGCCTTGGACACTCCCAGGGATGGGGCAGCCACAGCTGCTCTCAATACCTGTCATTGATAGTATCGTGTCCTACACTTGTAGGAACTGTGCCCTGGAGCTGGAGAGCAGCATTTCCTTGTCCTTGTGCTCCTGGGAAGGGCACAGGGTAGGTGGAGAGAGGAGCTTGGTGGAGAAAAAGGCCAGTAGGTCCAGCTGTGCCTCGTGGCTTGGGCAGCAGCTTCAAGCAGTGCTCAGTGTTGGCACCAAAGGTCAGAGCTGGAGGAGAGACCAATTCCACAAGAGCTACGCTGTAGCTCTCCAAGCCTTTAAAAGTCCAATTCAGGTTGTGCCTGCTTGCTTTTCCTTAGAGATGCTTTATCTTACAGCCTTCAGAGGAGGGGAGGGGGAAAAAAAAAGTTAGTTTAATGTTCTTGTGGTTTGCGAGAGGACGCGGCAGGGGTTTGATTAGTTTATTGCTTGATGTCAGATTAGAAATGGAGCTTTAAGCAAGGCTGCTCCAGCTGGAAACGAGTAACTTTGGAGACATGTTCCAAATTTGTGCATTCCTGCAGCTCTGCAGAGGGACTGACACTGGAAATGCTCCTGGAGTTGTTCCTCAGCAGCAGCCTGTGCCCCAGCCCGGAGTGGGATTTCACTCACGGCTCCGGAACAGCCCAGTGGATCTTCAGCGACAGCAGCAGAACAACACGGGGTTTATTGGGATGACACCACAGGCTTGGGCTTCTAATTAAAACTGTCATTTACAGGGGGAATTAAGGTTTTGTTTGAATTCCCAGGACATGCAGGATGGACGTGTAACTCACCCTGATCAACGTTACATTGTGACTTTGTTCTGGCTGAGCCTTTTTAAAGGCGGTTTCTGACCCAATGGGTCCTCGGACACATTTTTCCTGCTGGGTGGAAACACGAGGATTTGCTCTCCGAGGTGTCGAACAAAGGGGTTCTCAGACTTGCCCTTTAGGTAACATTTAATGTGTCGTGTGGGTGAGGAATTTTATTAAAAAGCAGTGGATTTGGCAGCGTTCTGCTGTGAGGAGGAAAAAGCTGTGCTGTCTCCCTGCCCCGCTAAAGAAAAAGGAAGGTTCAAATACGAGGGCCGCTGGTTTTTGGCTCTGAGCAGCAGGGTTGGAGAAGCCAACCTGCAGTGGCTTCTCCAAGCAAAGGTCTTCCTGGAATGTGCCCAGAGAGACTCATTCCCTTTGCCTTCCCTTCCTCCATTTCTCTCTTGGACGACGTGCTCAGGACTTCAGTCGCTTCCAGTTGTTATTTTATCAAAAATACAAGTGCTGGGGGAAGGTCTGGTACGTGTTGCACGCACTTGGATGTCACAGCGCCCTGAGTAAAACGTCCCCAGCTCCTACATGAGGACAGGGATGACCCTGGGAGGCTGCTGGGCATTTTCACGTGCCCTCATTTCTGGTGTGAGCTCGGTGCTGAGCTCAGTGCGTGGATGGCTGGTCTCCCACGCTGCCTGGTGGGACCAGGCTGGGAGAACCACTCCGGGTCTGGCCCTCAATGGGAAGAGGCTCAACCCCCTCTTTCCAGAGCCACCGTGTCACCTTGGACAGCTGGCCACCTGCCTGGAGCCGCAGCAATGTGGGAAACCCATTTGCTCCTCAGCGGAGCCGCAGGCGACGGCCCCAGAGCAGGGGGGGTGTCACTTGTGGCCCATTTGTCTGTGCAATAAAGATCTGAGATTTCTGACCTCCGAGATGTTTTGGGATTCATAAATTACCGGTGACGCCGAGGGCAGGGTCAGGGGTCTGACCCCTCGGCAGTTTGCAGGACCTTTTGCCTGTATTTTTCTCCCTGGAAGTGTTTTGCTGCCTCATTTCCCCTCCTCCTCCAGCTTTCCATCCTGTGGGTGCCACCAGCCCTGGCCTGGGCTCGGGGGCAGCAGCAGCACTGGCCCCAGTGATGCCCCATGGGCGATGGGTGGTGCAGCTGATGCAGAGGATGGGCAGGAAGGGACAGTGCTGGGGAGCAGCCTGTGCTTCTGGGACAGAAATAGGTGTGGAGTGGGGTTGGCAGCTCCTCTGAGCCCAGACTCTGGCTCTGTCCTGTCCCCTCACCTGTGCCCCAACTCTCTGTGGGGTCCCACAGGTTTTGGCAGGCCCTGGCTCTGTCCCTCTGCAGGGATCAGTCTCCTCTGGCAGCAGAGGTGCTGGGAGGGGCCCCCCATCCCACCACCCCCTCCCCATGGTGACCCCACTGTCCCCAAGGGTGGGGAGCAGTGCCAGGGAGATATTTGGGGGACGTGTGGCTGGGACTGACAGAAATAGCTGTGCCACCTCAACCCTGCCAAGGGGACATTGGCAGACCTAGGGAGGCAGAGGGGACACCGTCACTTCCCTGTCCCTTGCCAGCCTGAGGGGTGGGAGGAAGCAGAGATGCACGGAGATTTTTACAGTTTACAAGAGTTTATTCAACTGGTTTCTGACTTTAGTTCTACCGAGTGGGTGCTGAACAGTTACAAGCTCCTTCAGGTAAATTACAGCCAATCTAACGAACAAACAAACAAAGAGGGAGGGAAAAATAAAAACAAAAGAAAAAAAAATAAAAGGAAACAACTGGGAAAAACAATAAGAAAATCCACAACTTTTCCACGTGTCATTAAATATATTCATATATAATAACCATAATATATTAGTATGCATTGTAAAGAAACATCGCCCAAAGCAGTCTGCCATGGTCATAACTAAACAACATTTACAGTTCAAGATATTAACAGAAATAACAACAAAAAAAAAAATCAACAGAAACAATTGAACCCCAAAACAACACAGGTTTTGTGAGGGGACGAGGGGGGTGTGCGGGGAGAGGGCACGGACACGACGAGACGAACAGAAACGAGACGAAGCGACTTGTGTCGGGTGCTACCGTCAGTGATGATTGTTTTGGCATTTCAGCTGCTCTCCAAAGCCCTGCTGGAGGCACCACAGCCCCTTCCCTGGTCGCCCCCCCTGCCCCCCGGGACCCCCGTGCTGTCCCCAGGGCCATGGGGGGTGTCTGGGTTCTTTGCTGGTTCCCCACAGAGCTGCACCCCCGGCCATCCAGGGGCTGTTTAGGGGGGCATCTTGTCCCTCTCTGGGTGACTGGACAGAGGTGTCCCCCTAGGAGATGTCCTGGAGCAGGGGATGGCTGCAGGGAAGCGCTGCACCCCTGGACACCCCAAAAATGGGTGTGGGGGAGGCTGTGCACCAGTTCCACCAGCAGCTCCTGCAGGTCAAGGTTACTGGGAGCACAGGAAGGGCACTGGGGGGCCGTGCATGGAGGGAAGGGGTTTCCCTGCTCTGCTTGGAAATGCAAAACTCCAACAGGGATGATGGGACCGGGTCCTGGTGGGACAGGGATGGGAACTTCACTCCTGTGTGAGCTGAGCTGTTTCATGCCTTGTGCAAACTCCTTTCCTTCAGATTTCCCAGGTTGTGTTGGTGCCTGGAGGGGTCTGGCCATGGCATGGAGTGGGTGGTGGTTCTTCTGCAGCCTCTGAGAGCAGTGGGACCAGGGAAGGGGCTGGGGCGTGTCCCTGGGTGGGTTTGGGGTGCCAAGGCTGCACTGGGGAGGGCGGCTGTGCTTGACAAGGTTGGAAAACAGGAGAGAGCGCTGGGTGTGCTCAGGGGGCAGTTCCCAAGCCCTCATGTCCCCTGGCCTTGCCTTCCTGCACTCCAAGTGAACTGGCTCTGGGTTGGATCCCGTTGGTTTTAGGCCATTTGAAGGTCTCCTGTGGCTCAGGGCATCCCAACTAACCAAGGACATGCTGTCTCCCGCTGGTGGGGTGTCCCTGGCATCAGCTGACATTGGCTGCAGGAGAGCATCCAACCCCCATCTGGGGGTTTTAAGTCTCCATTTAGACACTTGAGGTCAGATTGTAGCCCTCAAAACTTGGTGGCTTGGGTTCCCTGCGTTGCAAAACCGTCACCCCTCCTTGAGCTCTGAGATGAGAAAAACCAAGTCCACTCTGGGAAAGGGGGGAAAACACAGACTTGAGGGGGATTTGCTTGATGTCCAGGGTGGGATTTTTGTCCTAATACCCAGACTAATTTTGGAGGGCCTTGTGGTGGCGGGGGGAGGCTGAGCAGAGCTTGCTTCCTCCGGGTGGTGTCTCCAGCAGCCCGGTGCTGGCTGGAGCTTCCCTGGGAGCCTCCACTTTGCACCTATTTACATGGCTGCCTCGCTTTATGGTGGTTTATGTCATTATATAAATATTGTCAATTGCTATAAAACAAGGCAAAACCACTGGAAAATGTCATAAAATAGATGTTTCCAAGTTTCCTAAAAGGAAAAATATCAGGGAGGTTTTGCTTTTCATAGCGACTAATGTTTACTTCTCCTCCAGGTACCCGTCCTGCTCTCCCTGCCTTTCCTGTCTCCCTGGATGAGGTGAACTCGGATATCCCCGTTCCTCATGGGCTGCTGTGGCAGGGGAGCAGCCTGGCATGGGGGTGCAGTGCCTGGGTGACAGCTCAGCAGCCAGTCCTGCCCTCGGGATGCAGGTTGGAGGTGAGGCAGCCCCTGCCTCGCTTAGTGTGTTTGTGATTTGGAATGGGGAAATTTGAATTTGGGGTTTTCACCCCCAAGCAGAAGGAGAACAGTCTGGGGAGCTCCAGGTGGGTCACACCTTGTTCATCCAGTCCCTTCCCATCCGGTCCCTGCCCTGCACGGGCTCTGCCTCAGCCAAGCCTTAGAGCTCTACACTGGCCCCACGGGGACAGTCCCTGGCACTCGCTGGGTCCAGGGAGGTGGCCACCTTATGCAGGGATGCCAGGGAGCTCCAGCTCCAGAGGGAGTGAGGGCAGAGCTGGTGTGGATTTGGGAGAGCTGCCTGAGTTTGGGAGTGAAACCAGCGGCCAGCCAGGAGCTGGGTGTCACCTGCACAGATTTTCTGTCATCTGAGGGTTCACGATCTGCTGACAGCACCAGAGAGGACAAAACCTGTGAAGGAGACATTGGGGGTGGCCGCAGTGGAGACTCGGGGATCTTCTGGAGCACTTCTGGGGAGTGGATGCCAGCTTTTAGCCAAGTCTGGGTGTTTCCTTGGGGAACCTGGTTATCAACTCCTTGACTGTGAATCGGTGGCTGGGAGGGCTCATGCTCCTTCGGCATGGTGGGGACAGCACTCCTCAGGGCGTGGGGGCTGCAGCGAGGAGTCACTCCCCGAGTTATGCCCACCAACAAGGTCCCCTCTTGGCTGTGCCTAAATGGGCTCAGAGCATCATCACGGCTGGAGACCTCGGCCTCCCCAGGGGCCACACGTGGGTGGTGGTTACAGCTCTGGGGTACCAAAGTCTTCAGACAACCCGTCAGTCGATCTCGGATCTGTCCTCAGTGAAAAGTCTCTGTTTAGTTTCCTCTACAATAACTGTCTCGGTCAACCTAAGCTGCGAATACGTATTTTGGGGGTGGGGAGTTAATTTCCAGCGTTGCTGTTGATTAGTTTCTTACAGGTTTGATGTTCCCGTGCCGTGCTTTGGACGCAGCAGATGTTGGCAGCTGGAAGGCAGTTTGGTGTCTCTGAGTTCTTCGGCAATGGGGGGGCAGGAAGAAGCCTTAGGGGGGGTGGGGCCCTGGGTGCCGCACCCACACTCCTCTTGGTTTGTGTCCATGTGCACGACTGTTTTCGTTGGGTTTAGTTTTGTTTTCCCCCCGGAATACGAGGTGCAATCCTGACAGCCCCACCCACGGCCGTGATCCCCCTCCCGTCCCCCCAGCCTGCCCCGGCGCCGGTCCCTGCCCGCCCCAGCTCTACACAAAGCAGCATGCACAGTCAGTCTCTCCCTCCCGCGTCCTCCGTGGCCTTCTCCTCCTTTTAGGCTTTCTTACACTTCCCCTTCTTCTCCCGCTGCTGGAACTTCCTGAGCCGCCGGGCCCACGTATCCCGCCACTGGATCACCAGGCTGGTTTTGTCCGCAATGATGCCGCTCTGGTCGGGAGAGTCCTCGTTGTTGCCCAGCAGCAAATACTTCTTCATGGGCTTGATTTTGGGGCACTTGCACGCTATGTCCTTGGAGTGGATCCACAGGGTCTGGTCTCCGCGCCGTATCCGGTTGCTGCCTTGTTTGTAGACGGAGATGATGTTGACCGTGAACTTCCACCAGTCGGCATTTTTTTCCGCTTTCAGGATGTGGATCTGGACAGCTGGAAAAAAAACAAGACACCAGGCAAGAGGGGAAAAGATGTTACTGTTTGAGCTGGCGAGAAGAAAATGAATTTCAAGTCTTGCCCAATGGGCTGTGTGAGGAAGAAGAGTTTTGTCTCCCATCTGCTGTGGGTGGCAGCAGATAGGGGTGGTGGGTGTCCCAAAACTGACCCTGTCCCCAGGCCACCCACCATGAGCAATAGCAGCCAGTTCTGGTGTCTGAGGGTCTCAGCAAAGGTTCTAAGACCACCACAGACTAGGGAGATGCTCTCCAGCTCTGCTGCCACACACAGCCCTGGCTCCCCAGGGAGCATGGACGTGATGACCCAAGGCCCACGGGGGCTGCAGGAGTGGCTGTAACAGCAAGAACCACGGCTCTCCCTGTGCTGGGAGCCCTGGGAATGACACAGGGCTACCCCGAGCAGTGGCAGGGAGCAGGTTGCTCATCTTCCTCTTTGTGTCCTAGGGAGGACCAGCATCTCCCAGGACGTGGTTGGAAAACAAGCACAGACAGAGCAGTTCCCAGGGCTGTTGGTGCAGCAACATCTGTCCTGTGAACTCTTAAAGTGATCAGAGGAACCAGGTGGATTCGTGTACACTGGACCTGTCTTCTCCCTTGAAGCCACAAGCACAGAGAGAATTACCAAACCCTGGGACAGCTGGTGCCTCCAGGCTTGGGGGTCCCCTGAGCACAGGACACAGCCCCATGCACGAGGTGTTGTAGGGGAACTGCCTGTTCCCAAACAGTGCCAAAGCCCCAGGCTGTGTCCTAGGACCTGGGATGAATATTCTTTCCAATCCACATGTCCAGAGAGCAGCTCACACTTCAGCCAGAGGATGTGTTTCTACGGGAACCCTCCAGCCCCTCTGCTCTCCCTTCCTCACTGGGTGGGCAACTTGGTGCTTCTGCACCAGGACCCTCAGGCAGCCCCAGGTTTTAAGAGAAGATGAACCCAAATCTGAAGCAAAACACTGGGACTGGTCCTTATCTCCAAGCACTTGAAATGTGGAGGTAGGAAAGACCTGTGTGGGGCTCCATCTGCTCAGGGGCAGTGCAAGGAGGGAGCTCCTCATGAGACCTTGGCCTTGGAGCAGGACACTGAGCAGGTTCAGACCTATGGGGACTTGTGTCAGATGTCTCCAGGTGTTCCTCAGTCAGAGTTGTCCATGTCTTGCTGTGGAAGAAGCCATTGCTGGTAAAAGCATGGATGAAGGGCTGAGGGTGGGGCTCAGTGATCATAAGGAGAGGTCAGTGGCAGTGTCCAACTTTACTCCTGGCAGTCACTGGAGCATCTCTGCAGGTGCTGAATAGCAGCACTGGGCTTCGAGGGGATCCCTTGGTGTGCAGCAGCCTGGCAGAGAACCGGGAGATCACAAACTCCCCAAGCAAGACTGACATGGGAGCACAGCTGTGATCCATAAGCAAGATGATGATGTTTTCCAAGCCTGTGGCTGATGCTGTGTAAAGCACTGCACCTCTTGCCAGGCTTCTGCCAGCTTTCCTTCTTGTCTTCCTCCTCCTTCTTGGACACCCCACCCCTGCTGAATCACATCCATGTCCCCTGCCATCCCTACAGGCGCTGCTGTGCCCTCCTCAGGTGACATCCTTGGGTTTAAACCTGACTTGGGTTTAAACCAAAGGGAAGGAAAGGGAGCGTTTGGCCCCACAGCACGGTGAGGAAGAGGAGATACAAGCCTGGAGGCAGCTCCTGCTGCCCCAGTGGGCTTCCTCCTGACAGCAGTTCCTCACAGTGCAGGGGTGGCAGAGAAGAATGGGAGCTGCCGTCAGCTGGGATTGCATCCTCCAGGGAGTCTGAACACATTCCTGCTCATGGAAACTCACCTTCCAGGAAAGTATCCTCACCAGGCAGTGACTACCCAGCCCTCCTAGGGTTGCTGACTGTTGCTGACTGTCCCCACCAGCAGAGACAGAGGGAAAATCCCGGGTGGTGACGACAGCCCTGGCTGGGAGAGCAGGCAGGGGCTCCGTGCAGGCTGGTGCAGCCCAACTGTAAAGTGCTTTTTGACTAAATCTTTGAGCTTTTCCCTTTTTCCCCCACTCTTCCCTCATGCCCTGGGAGCTATAACCCCCTGCCCATCCACCTGCCTGTCTCAGCTGTCTGGCCAGGCCCAAGCAGGGCCAATCCTGCTTCTATAAATTAACAGCAGGAGAAGAATCTCCCCCCACAAAAAAAAAAAAAAAAAAAAAAAACCAGGCAAAACTCTCTCATTTACCTTTTAACAACCCAGTTTCCCCCCACTGGGTTAGAGATGGAGGAGAATCACCCCCTCTATAAAAGCACACCGTGCCAACTGATCCCAGGCTCTGGGAGGAAGCAGAGCCCTGCAGCCCCAGCATGGCTTTTTAACACGTTGCAAAATATATGGGGTATTTTCTTTTTCAGAGCATGTCATGGAGGCCAGATGCTTTCATTAAAAAAAAAAAAAAAAAAAAAAAAAAAAAAGGAAAAAAGGAAAAAAAACAACCCTAAGCTCTGACCGTGTATTTCCCCGTCTGGTGTGAAGGTAACAAAATGTGAAGATTAGCCAATTTTTATTTTTTGGAAACAAATCTTTCCAAAAAAGCTTAAACCTTTGACCTGCCTTGGGTCCACACTGACAAAATGGAGAAAATGAATGAAAAGGAACCGGAGAGAGGTGGTTACAGGAAACTCCGCTCTAAAACACACAGTCTGTATTTTTTTTGATGTCAGGGCCCCCGTCTCTTATTTTTTTCCCCTTTTATTAATGAAGTGGAAGGAGTGAAAGCTTTGAGGAAGGCTTGGCTGGCGTGGCTGCAGCTGCCTCCCCCGACAGCCCGTTTTCTGCCCATAACTTCACATCCAGGACAGGCAGTTCCCCCCCAGCCTGGTTTTGGAGTTCAGGTTCAGCAGTGCCTTGCCTGGTATTTCAGTGTGGAGTGGGATCAGCTTCTCCAGCGTCTCCCAAAGGACTCAAGACATGCAGAGATCCAGGAAGGTGCCAGGAGGATGTTTTGAAGCACCTAAGCTGGCTCCCCTGAGTGAATCCCCAGGGATTTAGACTCTCACTTCTCATGCAAGGGAAGGTTTCAGCCCCTTCATGATTTGGAGGGGGCTCAGCTGTGTCCCCCACCCTCCAAAGCTTGTTTTGGTGCTTGGTGCTGTCCTTCAGCTGCCATTTCCCAGGGCAAAGCTTGGCTTTGTTTGTGCCCTGGTGAACTGCTCTCACTTTGCTCTCCTACTGAACCCCTACACCAAAACTGTCCCTGTCACCACATCCCTGGAAAAACATCCCTGAAAGCATCCATGGGGCAGCCAGATGAAAGGATGTAGTAGGGGATGATGGTTATTCACCAGTGGGGAGATGGTGCTCCCCTGTCCATGATCCCCCTGGACTGGGTGGTGACCTGGAGCAGGAGCACAAAACCAAACTGCAGCTTCCACAGGGCTGCTGCTGCTCCAGCTGGGGCTGGGGACACTGGTTTCCAGTGAGGATGGGCCCCAGTCCAGGCTGGTGACACTGGTTTCCAGTGAGGATTGGCCCCAGTCCAGGCTGGTGACACTGGTTTCCAGTGAGGATTGGCCCCAGTCCAGGCTGGTGACACTGGTTTCCAGTGAGGATGGGCCCCAGTCCAGGTCTCAAGCCTGGCAGAGCCTCAGGGTTGCCTGTGGCTTGTCCCTGAGCTTTGCAAACAGGGGGTACCTGAGCCCTGCAGGCAATCTGGGGCTGCTGCACCCCAGACACCCCCACAGCTCCAGGGATTTTTCTCCAGGCTCACCCTTCTGCTCCCTGTCAGCCCCAAAGGAGCCCCCAGTCATCAACGGGCACAGAGTCCCATTGACCACATCCCACCCTACACTGATGCTCCTGCACCACAAATCCTGCCTGGATGGAGCCTCACAAGTCTCACCACCTTACGCTGCTTTGGAAGGAAAAGGTGGCCGAGTGCTCCCTGTGGGAGGGGATGGAGTGTCCCTGGTCCCCCCCTGCATTCCCTGGAGCTCAGCTCAGGGGCTCGGGATGCTGCCTGGCTCCTGGAGGGCTGGCAGGGAGCCTCCAGCCACAAGGAAGACCCAAAGGCTGGATGTTGGAGCTGAAAGCAGAAGGGTGGATGGCTCGATGTTAATAAAAACAAAACCCAACCCAAACCCTCCAAACAACACGTCTGAGGGCAGCTGAACAAGGCTTAAAGCAAAGCAGCTCCTCACAGCATCCAGAGACCATGAGTCAGGGGCCCAAAAATCCTGGGATTGCCACGAAAAGAGCGAGGCTGGGAAAAAAATTAATTATTTAATTTTTTAGGTTCACTTTTGGGGTTTGCGATTAGTGTCCTGCTTTCCAAGTTTCCCCTGCCAAGGCTGACCTAGGGCAGGGCTGCAGGGCCAAACCTGTGCATCCTATTGTGGATACACAGAATATCCTGTTCATCCTGTGCACTGACCTGTCCATAGGAGCTGGAGCTTCCAGAAACTGGGAACATCGCTGTGCTGGGCCCTGACAAAGATTCCATGGGCCCAGAGGGTGGCAGTGGGAGCAGAGCAGTTTGTTGGGACAACAAGAGGGTCTTTCATATGGACTGATGGAAGTAGGTGTTTAATACGGGCTGATGGAAGTGGGTGCTTGGGGTTCAGGTGTCCCAGCCTGAGAGGGGGCTTTCCAAAAGCTTGGCTCCCATCTCACTGCACAAGCAGAGTGGAGCCCATGTGGATTTTATTCCAACCCAGCAGCTAAAGGTGACCCCGACACCACCTGAGTTTGGGAACGTAAAGGGCTGGCTCCTCGCTGGAGCAAAGAGTTAAAAAGGGGATTTTTCTCCCCTTGTTTTTTAATTTTTAATTTATTTGGCTGTGGCTTTGCCTCGCTCCAGTTGCCAATTTCCTACTGGTTTAATATTGGAGATTTATGACCCCTAATCTCTGCTGGCCTGGGTGTGCCCTGGCCAGGCACGGTCCCTCCCCGTGCTGCTGGGGGACCCCTCACTGCCCCGGCTCACTCCCTCAGCACGTGCTTACAGGAGGGATTCCTGCAGCTTCCCCGCTTCAGGAATGGGATTTCTCCACCTTCCTGGGCAGTGGAAGGGTCTGTGAGCACCGGGAATGGTGCTTCCCCTCCCCGTGCCTTGTGTTTTTCCTGTGGATTCAGGGTTTTTTTCTCCCCCCTCCCTCTTTTCAAGCTGCCTTTTGAAAACACGTTTTGCTTTTTTCCAGCAGCCCCTGCCAAGCTCCTCTCGACAAAGGGGGTGACTAAGTGAAAGCTCCACGAAAAGAAGGTGGTTTTTTTCACCTCTTTTTTTTTTTTTTTTTTTTCCAAGAAAGGGCCAAGTGAGCAGATGATCTCACCTTTCAGATGAGGAGCCTGTTCCTCACCCCCATCCTCTCCCCGACACCAGGGCAATGTCTGAGACCAGAGTGCTGGTACCCAGCACAACCCTTCAGGGATCATCTGTGCAGGATCAGGCCCTGGTACAGCACAGGGGACTCAGAATCAGCGGGGGAAATGAGGTTTAAAAGCTCCAGGTTTCCTTTACCACAGCCACAATCACCCAAGTGAGTAAAGGATGCTTCCACATCACCTGGATCAGCATCACCTGCTCTAATCAAATAATCCCTTCTCCTTTTGGGCCACGGGGGAATCTCCACCCTCAGTGGTTTCAGCAGGGATCCCCTCTGCTCCCCCAGGCTAATTTAAGTGACCCCAACGCAGTGAAACCCCTCCTCTACCCCTGGATTTCTGGGAGCTGGGTGACCCTGCGCTCCCCCACGCAACCAAAATAAACCCAGAAGAAGCTTTTCTGCTTCTCTTCTTGCCTTTCCCCCTCTCCGAATCTCCCAGCCCGCCCTCCCCGCGTCCTGTTTCACTCTAAATATTTGCACCAAAACCCATCTCGCAGGGAAAAAGCCCAATTTAAAATAAAAAGAAAAAAAAAAAAAAACCAAACCACCACAAACCCAACAAAAACAAACAGATAAGAAAAATAAATAAGGGAAAATATCCCCTTTGAATGGCTGAATGAAGCGGGGAGCTAAAAAGCCCCATTGAGGAGCGCGGGCGGATGATAGCTGCCGATTGAGCCCGCGGGAGAAGTAACTCTGTTCAAGCTAATTAGGGCCTTTTAGGACATTCAGCACAGCGATGGCAGCAGAACGGTGAGGAAAAGAACCTCCTAATTGGCTTCCTGCTGGGGTGTCAGTCCCAAAGTCTTTATTATCCCTCCCTGCACCTTTTCATCCCTTTCTTCCCTCCCTCGCCCTGGTGAAAGCCTGGGCTGCCCCGGCACGGCACCGCTCACCCTGCGGCCTCGCCAGGCTGTTTTGCCCCTGGAAAAGCAAATTTTCCGTGGCTGTGGGGCTGGTTGGGGCTGTTGGGGACCCCTCCAGATTCAGGAGGGCTCGGGTGGGAGCACCCCAGCTCACCATCCTGCACTCGCTCACCCAAACCAGCAAATGGTTTTGGCTCAGTGGTGAAGCTGCAGAAGTGCTGCTGTGGGATAAAAGAGAAGAGAAAAGCTCCTTCCAGAGCTCTTTCACTGTTCTGGGGGTATCTCTAGCCTCTTCACGGCTCCAGGGGTATCTCCTGCCCAAAAAAGCTCTTGAGCCACTCTCATCTCCCCAGGGTCTGTTGGAGCCCATGAGCCCACGTTACAGCCTCAAACAAAACCAAGTGTGAGCTTTCAGCTGAACCCCCAACACCTCCCTGGTGACACTGGACAAGCCAAGGAGCAAAACCACCCCAGGGCTACCCCTCGAGCAAAGCCCAAGTGCTGCCACCACCAAAACCCCCCAACCCTCGCTCCAAGAGCGCAGGGAAAGGTGACACTGCTTGGCTGCAAGCCTGCCCTGAGGGGGATGCTCTTGCCTTTTTGTCCTCCCTTCCATTCTCCCAAACCCCGGGGCTGACTTGGATCATGACAGGTCCAAGTTTCCTGCAATCAAGCAACTGCTTTCTCCCCTCTTCAGGGAGATGCCCCAGTGTGAGCTCAGCTCTCAAGATACTCTGGAGAAGCCAGGTGGGAAAATGGAGGGATGCACATCCACATGTGGGAAATGTGTTGGTAGCTTGTTAGCCTGCAGAGAATTCACCCACAAGGAAACCCCATGGCTTTAGTGGCCTGGGGCTCAGCCCTGCTCCCCTCCTTAATAATCCCACATAATAACCTTCCAGCCGTGACTTTCCCATGTGCCATTAAACCTTTTTATCCAAGGGAAAAGGCATTCCTTGGACCTTTCCTATGTGTGATGAACCTCTAGCAGCTCCTATGAGAGATCCCAGCACAGCCTTGCTGGTTGGGGACCACAACTGCACCCCAGCCCTGGCAGCTCTCCTTGCCCAGGGATACTCTGTGCTCCACAACCATTTTGCCATGTGGATAAAGGAAGGATAAATGGGAATGCAAATACCCCAAGCCCTTTTTCCCTCCCCTGAGCTCATGGGGAAGTGTCAGAGCACAAAGCCAGTGTGGAGCATCCCTCAGCCAGCCCTGCTGGGAAGCTCCTTGTCCAGGGATGGGCTGTTAAATGGGAATTCGTTCTGCTCTTGCAAACACTTCCCAGACATGCTGAGCTGCTGCTGTGTGTTCAAAGGAGGGAGGAGGTATCTCCACTCCTGGGTGTGTTCATGTGGATGGAATGGGATGCTTTCTCTTGATAGTTTGGTGGAAATATATATACACAGAGAGAGATACATATATACACATGGATATATTTATATATATTAAATGGATATATTTTATGTATTCCTCTACTGTGAGGGGAAGGGCTGATGCTAAACCCTGTCCTGCAGCTCCTCAGAATTCCCTGACTGTTCTCACATGTGAAGGCTCAACTTTGAGCCAGGCTCACCTCTAGAGTTCATGGAGGGGGAAAGATAAATTCTAGCCCCTCCACAAGTTTAGGTGCATTTCTAAGCGTCCCCTGGCACACAGCATCTGTATTTAACCAGATTTTTTTGGGTGAGTCCCATTCCTGACACTCAGCTCATCCCATGGCTGGCAAAGGAGGGGGATCCTCTGGGCAGGTGGGGCAGAGCAGAGCCATCCCTCCCCACCTGCCACTGGGTGATGTCTGAGCCAAGGAGGAGAGAAGCTCCTCCCGGGGTCACCCTGGACATGTCCTGCATGGACCCACATTGGGAATGGACCCAGGAGCAGAGATCCAGGGATGTGCCTGCTCCAAGGCACTGCTCCAGGGCAGAGCTGTGGAAGGACTCTCAGGACCCTGGGTACCAGCAAGGATTCCACAGCATCCCTGGCTTGTCCCAGGGCTGCACCACCTTCTGAACTTGCCTGGGAATTAAAGGGGGGATGGATCTGGGTGACAGGGAACTGCTTTCTGCTCATCCCCATGGCAAAGCACATTTTTTTGAAAGCTGCTGCACCTTATAGCACAGTGAGAAGAGAGGGGACATGGTGTCATTGTCACCAAGAGGACACTGAGAACACCTGGAAAACATGAGTCTCCCTGCAGATAACCCCCAAATTATGGGATTGGTGTCCTCATCCCAATTTCCCAAGAAACACACTGTGTCACTTCCTCCACCAAGCATCGCTGCCCAGGGCTCCCTCTCCAAACCTGGCAAAAATCACTCCCAAAATTGCACACACCCTGGAATCGGCAGAGCTGGGCTGCCCACGGCTGTGGCTGGGACACAGCCAGCAGCCTTTCCCTGGGCTGGGAGGGCCTGGGGACGGCGCGGAGGGGGATGCTCCTCCTCTGCATCCCTTCGCCACCTCTCATCCCTGGGAAGCAGCGCTGAGAGGGAGGACTCACCATAGTCTTTCTTACAGTACTTCTTCATGTTGATCTTCAGTTTCCCCTTGGAGGCTTTGCAGTATGAGTCACAATCTGCACGGAGAGAGGGGGAGGGCAAGAAAACATTAACAAAACAAATTAGCCTTAAAATGAATAAAGGGCTGGGGGAAGGGGGACGGCTCAAAGCTGCAGCCTGCCATGAATAAGCAGCGTGCCTGTGATATCCATCTGCCAGGCCCCGATTGGGTCGTCTAAGGGGGCATTCAGAAAACCCTTCCTTTCTAAAGAAAGCTGCTCACAAAGGAAACCATCCTCCCGCCCGCCTCCCCCAGCCCGGCTTCCCTGGGCCGCCTCTGTCTTCCTGGGAGACCCCGGGGGCCTCCCTTATTGTGCCACCCAGAGCTTTTGAGAGCCACACAAATTCCCCCTGTTCTCCAGCTCCCAACTGGAGCCTGCCCGGAGCCCACAGAGGCCCCATTGTCACCCCTAACCCGGACCAGTGTCAGCCTTTGGCATTCATTGCCGAGAGATTCGGGCTGGGGTCACCCTCCGACAATGCGGGTCAGAGAGGAAATTAGCAGCCCATGAAGCATTAGCAAAGCCTTTTGGTGTCCACTCTACTGAAGTGTGCAAATAAAATGCCCCAGTAGGAACATTTCAGTTCTAATGGGCCCCCACTGCTGGGACACGCCGGCCGTGCCCGGGCGGCGCGGGGGCCGGAGCGGCGGCAGGCGGGAGCGCTGGCACGGCCTCCTGGCAGTGCCACCAGGGCTGGAGCTTGGCCACGGGCACGGGTGGCTGCAGGGATGCTGAGCCCCGCCCCGGGAGCTGCTGCTCCCCAGGGACCTGCTCCAGGTGAGGGATGTGGGATGGGGCTGAAAGGCGTCACGCTTTGGTGCCCTCCAGCCTCTGCTGGGAACATCCCAGTGGCACCACAGCTGGAGGGAGATGTGCCAGCCCATGCCAGCTCCCAGAATGGGGGTGAGCTCATGGATGGGCACATCTCAATGTCTCCTCAGCACCCACAGGTGCTGGAGAGAGGCTCCCAACACACAGAATCCCCTTATTCGGGAAAAAAAATGGGACACTTCTGGTACAGTGACAGTTCTCAGACACCTCCACTGTCCCAGCTGTCCACCATCCCTCCACAGCCACCGATGGTGCCCGGGTGTGAAAACCCACTGAAGTGCCCCAGCAGGGCCCCAGGGCTCTGTGGGCAGTGGGGGATGCAGGGAAGGATGGGAATGCTGCTGGTATCCCATGGCCAGTGCGTGCCAGGTGCCCACATCCTGCCCCAGCCCACGTGAGCAGTGCCAGACCAGAACACACTTGCCCAGGCAACACCCCCCACTCTCTAGCACCACGACAGGAAGAAGCTGTGCAGCATCTGGGGGAGAAGCTGTGCAGCATCTTCCCTGTCCCCTGTTAGCACAGCTGTGCCCCGCTCCAGGGTGGCACATGCCACAGCCTCAGCAGGGCTTGAGGCCCCATTCCTTGTGTGCTGCAAAAGCCCTTGCAAGAAGCAGTTCCTTCCAAGGGACACTGGCACTGAGCAGGCTGGGAGGGGAAACGGAGGCACAGTGCTTGGAAGTGGCTGCACAGCCATAGCAGTGGCAGCGTTTCCTGGCCATAACTCTGTTTGCAGCTCTGCTGTGCACACAGGGGCCGTGGTGTGAAGCCAGCTTTGGGACAGGGCCATGCTGGAGGAGGTGATCTCCAGTGGTGGATGCTCAGAGCCAGCCCAGGCAAGGAGGGCAGACGTGGTACACGGGGTGCTCTGCTCCTTCCCAGCTCACCAGCCCCAGCACAGGAGGTGTCCCTGGAGTGGGAGGTGAGTTCAGAACCATGGTAGCTTCATCAGGTGGAGAGGAGATGCTCCAGGAGGTCTCATGGACCCCAGATCCAACTCTGCCAGCTCCCTCTGGCAACAGAGCCAAACCCAGCCTGAGCCAAGCAGCAGCTGATGAGTTTGAGAGGAGCAACTAACAAGAGAAGGAAACTCGAGGAGCTGGACACTCACACTTGCCATAATCATCAGGTACCAATACCTCAGTACCAACACCTCTGATCCACGTGTGCCCAAGCCCCTCTGAACGTGGCTATGAAGAGTCCCCCACCTCAGCACCATCCTCCTGCCCCATCTCTGCCTGCTGCTCCCGCTCCTCAGGAGAGCATCCACAGGAATACACGGCTTCATCTTTCAGCATAACCCAGTCAGGGCCACAAACAAAAGCCATGATTTGCAGCAAGGCCCCTTCCTCCTCCCAGAGTCCCAGCTGAGGTCTCTGCGCAGCTACAGCCCAGCCAAAGCCCCTCAAAACCCGGGAGCTGAGCTGATGACTGAGGGTTTCCAGCCTCCGACTCTGTTTGCTTTTCTCATCTAACATGACTCTGAACACTGAGTAAAACTTGAAATGCACTGAGAAAGGAGTGGATATTCCATAAAAACTGTAGTTCAGATGATGGAGATTCGCTAGCAAAGTCCCAGCCATGCCTACGTGGCAGGATGCCACCACGCAGCAGGGCGTGACTGCCCCGTGTCCCTGAGCTCAGGGAACAGAATATTCCTGATGCAACACACTGGTAAGATGTTCCTGGCCATAAACATTGCAGGAGAAGTCTATAAGGGAACTAAATGTGCATGCAGTGACCCAACAGCCCAGAGAGGCTTCCCCTCAGCCGCTCAGTGGAGCAGGGGATGGCAAGAGCCATCGCAGGTCCTACAGGTTTCTGGCACCATTCTGCTCAACTGTTGATGGTCTCAGGCCACCAATGTGGTTATGATAAACATGGTGATGGTTCTTCCCTGGCACAGAAATCCTGGAGCTCTGTGGATATTCACTGCTGCTGTTACCCCTCAGCCCCTGGGCAGCAGCTGTTCTGCCACAAGGGGACACAAGGGCAGGTGGAGGGGGAGCAGCTGAGCAGGGACAAGCCTGGGAGCTCTGGCTGCACATCCCTCCTGTCCTGGCCAAGTCAGACAGATGCTGGCAGGCAGCTGGCTCTGAGCACTAGTGGGGTGGACAGCAGCTCCCACCTCCACGGCTCAGCCCCTGGATCTGCAGGGGGGTCTCCACCATCCAGGCTGACAGAGCCCACCTGGAGCAGATCCTCCTCCAGCCCAACTGCACTGCTTTGGGATCCACCCCAAGAAACAGCAATCAGATAGAAACCACTACTGCTCTGCACTTCAGTCCAGACCACTGACAAGAACAGCCCCAAGTCACCTTAGCAACCTCTCCCCACATCCCTAACCACACCTGAGCTTCCCAGTCCTTGCACCACTGCCATAATAATTCCACACTGCCTGAGATTACAGACCTGCTGGAAACCCATCCTGGTGCTGTTTCCCAGACAGGGAGCCTGTGGGGTGATTGGGCTTCACCCAGCTACCCCACACAGGCCATAGGACAGTATCCCATCCCCACACCTCTGCTTACTCCTGGGGTGAAAACCTGGAGCTCAGGACACCCACCTACAGCCAGGTCTGACACAACCCCATCCTGCCTTCTCTTTTCTCTTTCCCCAGCCCCACGGGCTGTGCCAGAGCCTCAGCTGGTTTGAATTGAACTTGCTGTGGCCAGAGCCAGCTGGTGTAAATCACAGTGAATCAGCAGATGCCAGGGCTGGTTTCCGTGGGTGGGGGATTTGCCCCGGTTCATTTCCTTTGTCTCCGATGTGGAGAGCTCTCCTGCCTCCTGGGTGACTTGGAGGTCCTGTGGGGCCTCTTTGGGAGGGCAAATGAGATTTCCCAGAGCCAAGCATTGAGCCAGTTTGGCTGGGAAGCACTGCTGTGTGCACAGGGTAACGCTGAGAGATCACTCTTGCTTGGGGAAAGCGCGTGGAAGAGGTGCTGCAGGATGCTATTTCAGTGCTGCCCAACGCCTGGGACAGACCCTGCTCTCATCCACCAAGGGACACTTCAGCATTTGGGCTCTGGGGAAGGTTTGCTGAGCTGCTGCTCCCTGATGGAAAGTGACAGTGGAGCTGGGGAAGGGATGGGAGGAAGGATCAGCCAGCTGAAAGGGAGGAGAGGATGGATGTGGAGCCCAGGGTGCTCCGACAGCTGTTCCAGCGACTCGTGGGTGTGCACAGGAGGTACAAACCATGTGAGGCTCTTGCAACATTTGTTCCCAAATGTTTCTGTTGCAAACCTCTGGAGTCCCAAGACCTGTTGCTTGGCTATTCCAGAGGCCTGCTATCCTGCAGATCCCTCTTGTCCCTCCCTCTCCAGGAGGCTGCAGAGGATCAGCCTGGGGTAACCTGCCCACAGAAGGTGATGCCAGAGTCTGGCCAAAAGGTCAGGCTGAAGATTAAAGGAGCTACCTGAAGAGGTGAAGCCTCTTTGAGCTGGAACCTGAAGCATGGGGTGGTTGGTGTCCAGGTCCTACAGGTGGGCTGTGGGGGGCACCAGGAGGGCTGGATGGGGTCAGGCCCAGCTCTCTGCCCACCATGCAGTACAAACATCCCCTGCACACGGGGGTGCAGAACAAGGGTTGGTGCTCACCCTGCTGCTGTCCTGCCCTGCTCCTCCTCCAGGCAGACCTGTCCTCTCAGCCTGCCCGGCCCTGGCAGGGTCTGAGACCTCTCTGAGCCCCTCCTAGCCTTAATCTGACCCAGCCACCCCCCGGCTACAGCACCGCGGTGCAGGAGAAACCAAGTGCTGCTATCCCAGCACCCTCCTCCCCTGCTCCCGGCACTCCCCTGCCCGAGTTTGCTCAGCTGCACAAATATTTCAGAGCAAATCCCCGTTTCAGAGACTCAAACCCAAAGCACAGCCAGACCTTCGTGGTTTTTTTTTTTGTTTTTTTTTTCCCCTTCATCACCGTGGTGACATCCCGCTCCTCCCCGCCGGGTCCCCGGGGCCGGGATTGCCGGCCGCTTCCCTGCGGAAAGCACAAACTTTCTGCTTTTCCCGGATAAACAGAGCGGGAGGGGATCTGGGAAGAGGCGTTTGGCGCTACTTGTTCGCAGAGGGAGCAGGTGGCGGGCGGCTGTTTCGTGTCCGTCGCAGCTTAGTAAAAAGTGTCAGTGCAGCCTTCAGCAGCTTTGCAGCTCAGCCCATCCCCTTGATATAACTAATTCTCTGGCTG